TTGCAGATTGACAGGTACGGCGTTGGTACAAGCTTTGTGTGCTGTGGATGTATTTTGGGCGTGGTCGAGTATTTCTTCCTCCCCACGTCGTACAGTCAGTCAGTCGTCCACCCCCAAGCTCCCCGTGCCTCCCGGGCCCTGTATCCACAGGTTTTTAGCAGTCACTGTTGGGAGTGAGACGGGGCTTGTTTGCTGGGGGGGAGGGGGGTTTGCAATTTGCGTCTGACACCCAAGCGGTACCGTGCAGAGTTGAGGCGGATGGTTTATTGGGTGGTTGAAGATGATGGGAAGCCAAGGGGGCTGTCGCATCTCGCATCTCATCCCGCTGCCCGCTGGAATTACGATGCTAAAAAGATTGACGAGGTGGTCGTGTCGGTCTTTGTCGCATCCTGGCTTTCTGCCGCGAACAGCGGCGAAGCTCCAGAGTCAAGAAGATGCCTAGCCATTGTGATTTTGCGCGAGAATGCGCGCGTATCCGTAGCGTCCGTCTGCAATTGTTTTCCTTTTTTTTTTGTTTCGTCGGTGACTCGGTGTGGACTGCTTCTGGAAAGGCTGCTGCTTTCCAGCTGGCACCACCACCCAGACCGCTCGCTCGGCATGGATTGCGATCCCCCATGGCTTCGTCCCAGATCGGTGTCCCGCGGACCCGCTCGCTGGTCTTTGGCTGGGGGCGGGAAGGGAGAAAGGGGGGGCGTGGATGCAGCGAACGGGGGTCTGCGGGAATGGATGCGCTGATCGGCGAAGGAGAAGGATTGCAAAAGCCGACCGAGGGGCCGGGGACGGGGACGGGCTGGGGCGGGTCGGGTCGGGTCGGGGACGCGCGCTGCTGCTTGCCTGCTGCTGGGCATGTTGCGTGTTGCCGGCGTGCTGTGCGTGGTCAAACAAGGGTTGGTGGAGCGTAGCCCGCATATTGTTGGACCTCACATGACGGTGATGGCATGCTGGGTGGCCAATCAGCCCCTGGTCAGGTACGAGGGGGTGAGGGGGGCCTGAAGAAGGCAGCCCCGGTGGTGAGGCCTGGGGGCCTGGGGGCCTGGGGGTTTTGGCGTTGCTGACTGAGGCTGAGGGAGGTTGTCAATTTGTGCTGGATGATCTCTGTAGAATTAGCGAGCTAGCAGGTATCTCGGTGAAAAGTCGAGACATTTGAGGGCACATTTGAGGAGGCAGACTTGATAATATTTAGAATGTGATTGAAAGAAAGGTCACTGGCACCCAATGGCCTCGGCGACTTTTGCAGAGTGCCTACTATATTCTTCGGTAGGTGCCTTCTGTCGCAGAGTTTTCAGGGCCCGCCAACGAATTGTATCGGACCTGGGACCTTAGTCTGGATGCAAAAGTCTCCGGCGTCAACATAGCGACGAGAGAAAGTTTCCGGGACAAGAAGCGGTATAAAAACGACGTGTAAAAGAGAGTGAGCTCTGTATGATCAATGTTGATTGTTGACTTCTTCGCCATTCTCTGGCTCGCAAATTTTACTGTCGTCATCGCAATCGGGCAGCAGGAGCACGTTGGGCTGAGTCACCACGACCCCCTGGAACAGCTTGCAACAAACAACAGTTTTTCAACGACCGTGTTTGCCAGCCAGACGAGCGAGTATTCGAACCTGACTGTTGGAAAGAGCTCGGAAAAAATCATGGCGTCGGAGCAGAACAAGGAATATTTCAAGTAAGTTTGTGGCCCTTCACATGAGTCTCCCAACGGCACGTCAATGGAGCAAGGCTTCTGGCAAGGCTTTTGGCTGGACACCACATGTACTATGAATGAAGGCCATGTTTCCCTCTCTCGTGTAAAGCGAGGCTACGAGCTACCTTTCTGACAAGTCCTCAAGCAAGCAGGCGGCGTCGTACGACTCCAAGCATGAAAAGACACTGAACCGTGTCCTGGAGGAGATCAGGGCCAGGCTTGACTTCATCGGCGTGGACTGGGTCAGTGACGAGGACTCGGACGAAAGCGATGAGGATGAGGAGAAGAAGGGGGCTGCTTCTACTGCTGCCGATGCTACACCGCCGAAGCAGGTGAGGTTGTTGGATTATGCTTGTGGTACTGGGCTTGGTAAGTCGATGTCTTGTTTGTTATGGGAGGCGGCCGTCCATTTCGAGAGTTGGTTGACATACAACCGATGAACGAGTTGGTTCTCTCCGTGCTCTTCTGATTGATACTAACAGACATTTGTGACACTGCAGTTTCGAGGGTATGTTGATGATGTTGCCCAGGCCAAGTCACCGATGCTCAGACCGACAGAGTTGACGGCTGACATTGGACCCCCTTAGGCTCTCGCTCCGTACACGACACAATGCGTTGGAATCGACCTCTCGGAGAACATGGTTCAGGCATACAACACCCGGGCAGAGAACCAGGTCAGTTACCAAGTCCCCTTCTTTCAGCCACGGAAACCGTCGTAACACAAACTCTGACTGATACACGGCAGGGTCTGACCGAAGATGAGATGCACGCTTACCAAGGCGACCTCTGCGTGCCATCGGACCCCAACCCGGCAGCACTGGATGCACCAACCTTCTTCAATTTCGACATTGCCGCCGTGGGCCTGGGATTTCACCACTTTGACGATCCGGCTCTTGCGGCCCAGAGACTCGTCAAGCGTCTTAACCCGGGCGGCGTCCTGCTTGTGCTGGATTTCCTGACACACGAAAAGCTACATCATGTAAGCTTCCAGTTCCCATGCATCATGGACCCGATTTCACCGAAACTGACGTGGCCATCTGGCAGACACACCACGAAGCCTCCCATACCGTCACCCACCACGGCTTCTCGGAGGAGCAGATGAAGAAGATGTTTACAGATGCTGGTGCTGGAAAAGACTTTGCGCTGCAGTCTGTGGGCGTAGTCTTCAATTTCAAGACGGACGACCACGAGGGGACGAAGAGGCAGATCTTTCTCGCGCGTGGCACAAAGGCCTGAGATGGTCCATTGGCTTCAGCATTGGATTTCAGCACGGGATCTTTGGCCTCGGAGCTGCCTGTTGGGGGTTCTGTTTATATGATTTGTCCTGTCAGATGTCGTTGCTGGGCCGGGCTCTGGAAAGTACCAGAGTTATCACATTAGACATGTCATGGAACATGTAACCCGAGTCTGTGAGTAACGACTACTAAACAGGCTCGAGAACCCAGGGTACATGTCGATACTTCTCGCTTACTTTCGTGTGACATGTCTCAGAGGTGTCTCTACTCGGCATTGGAGGCGTAGGGGATGCTGGATCACGGATCATCACGAGCCGAACCTTGTGTACCTTGATCGGAATACTTCGCGGCATGCGTACCAAGGGCTTGGGTATCACCGGGGAAATGCGGAGCAAGTAAAGACCCGCGTGCCGGAATCATGTCTTTCCAGTTTCCATTCTGGGGGCATGTCGTGCCTCGTTGCCCGGCGAGCAAGGTTTCGTCCCTTTCCTTTCATACTCCTATATCTCGTACTATGGCTTGAGACAACTGGACCTGCTGAATAGACCTCAAACTCTCAAAACAAGCATCTTCCTCTCACCCGTAGTTCAGAGGACGCCCTCGACATAGGCAAGTAGGCTTTCCAGAATCGACATCCGGTCTCAAATCAGCCGTCAGTCCCCGAGAGACTCGGCTCCTGGGACCCCTTATCTTCACCATACCACTCAAAAACAATACCCTTTGTTGAAAATATTTCCCATTCATTTCACAAACGACAAAGCCGTACTCCTATCCACTGGGCGAGAACATGAACACCCTTCGAGTCTTCGACAGCCTTAAAGCGCCAAGACCTGCACTGCGGGAGCTAGCGTCATCTTGTGAGCCCATCCCCAGTTCTGCCATCACCAGCCGCTAAAATGGTCTCACCTCGATTGACATCACGGCAAAGAAGAAGGGGCTACTGACTTGGACACAAGCCCGAGCTGTCAATGTGTGTGTTGGCATGGGTGTCGTCTCTGTACGTCCCCGTGTACGGGTGGCACCGATCCAAGCCACCCGATGGGGAGAGAGACTGTATACCTATTTCTGAAATGGCTGTCGGCGGGTTCCTAGATGGGAGGGGGCGGCCTATGTGACAGCGGGTGAGCACTGCGAGGGCTCGAGGAGGGGTTTGGTTCGGGACGAGTACAATCCAATACTGGTTTGTTTGTTAGCGCGAGACTTTCGAGACATCAGCCAAGGCCGTATAGGTACCTTAAGTCAGAACTGGATGCGTCTAGTCTTTTCATTCAGTATCGCGTCCTTGGTCAGAGGTCTCCCGCTAACAAGCAAACCAGCGCTGGATTGTAAGCGGCCAGTGCATTTCCATACTTCCTGCCCGTCCAAGTTCAGGTATCTAACCCTAACCCATGATTCATCGACAGCCAAGAATTTCTCGTCGGGTACCAAGCCCGTGATCCTTGTTTTCCTCCCAAACTAAAGCTTCATTTGCATACCAAAGAGAGAAAACATTACAGCCTGAGCAACACTCGCTGCTGGTATCCTTTCGCGATACGAGACATATCACCTGAGCCCAGACCTGACTCCAGCCCCCACCATGCGTATTCTTTTCACCGGATTCGTCTTCCTATGTGGTCTTGGTGTGAGCCCACGTATGCATAGTCGACACGCCGGCCCGGCCCGGATCGGCGTGGCTGGAGTCTCGGATGGTCGAAAGCGGAAATGGGTGCTGAAACATATTGAGGTGTCTCTAGAGAACACATGGTACGGCGATGGCACACTGCTGAGGTGGAGGGCAGGATTCGATCAAGGACGAACCTGGGGAAAGGTCGATTGCCACGACCCCGGGTCTCAGAAGGGTCCGAGAGGAGAGACGGAGTCGGGCAAGGGGAAGCAGCACTTTCGCCATTGAGTATGACAGGCTGTTGGCAGCAAGCTGAGCTTGCCTTTCCCCCTATTGCTTGATCGAGATCACGTAATGCCCTCAACACGGTGGACCCGGGCAATGACTCGGACCGAGTCACGTCGTCCCACGAGGCACCCATAACATAGACTGACCAGATGGAGACAATTAATGGAAATCGAATCCAACAGAAAAAACCAGGCGCTTTGACGGAGTGGTTAACGTGCTGCCCTGCTATCTTTCCAGATGTGTGGTTCAGGCAGTTCCTTCGGGAGCGCAGGTTCGAATCCTGCAGGCGTCGAATATTTTTGGACCCCTATGTGAGGGTGTGCATTTCTTTTTGTTGCTTCTGGGGATATATATATGGCTAGGGAAACTGAAAGAAGCTATACCTTGAACCAGTGTAAAGGATCACAGGCACTAGTCTCGGAGAGAAAAAGGTTCACCAGGCCTTCGGTTTTACCAGCCCAAGTACTAGATAGATGCGACAAGACAACCCTTATGAGTTTGAGAAGCCCTGGGACACGGAAAACTGGGAGCCGCCGTATGGCGGTCTGGTCTCTTGGGTTAGCTGGCACAGGGGAATTCATAAAGCTCTAGGACTCCGTAATCTCGCCAAGGACGTAAGCCGATGTCAGCTATATTCTCATCGTTGCAAATGTACCCCGTGTCTCGATAAAGGCTTAAGAGCAGGGCTAGTGGGTGCTCCTTGCTGCGCTAAAAGAAATCTTGAAAAAAGAATGCCCCAAAGAGTCGATGCGTCATATTCATGCTTGCCGTCGTCTCCTGCTTCCCATGGATATCGCGAGTAAAAGTTGTGAACTCCACGCCTTGATTAAAGTCCGTGGCCTCCCCCCTTTGAAGTGTTGCTTGCCTCACATCCATCATCATCCATGAGGCAGGCCGCCATACCCTTACCCCCCACCCTAGCGTCGATAGAACAGCACCGATGTGTTCCACAGCGACATGCGGTAGGTATCATTACTACTGCTGGCACCCCCCTCGCCCCGGGCCTGGGCCCGAGACGTTATCCATGGGCGACAAAGGCCCGAAGATGGCAAAAAGCTGCTTTGCGAGACAGACTCGTGATCTTGCCCGAGTTCCTCTGCGGGGCTGGATCCCGGAACGGGTCTGCCTTGTTGTCATTTTGCGGCGTCGCCGCATTGGGGCTCGACGCGGAGGCAGACCGGTGCATCTAGTGTCGGTACGTCTGCGCGGATTTACTCGGCGGTGTGGCCCGGTAGGCATCGTCCCGCTCGTACAGCTCGTCGTCGCTAACCGGTGTAACGGGGTCATTCTTGCTGCTGCTGGCGGTTGCTTTCCCCTGCGCCGCCGATCCCGACCCAGACCTGGAGACCTTATCCTGCCCCGACGAAGAGCCAAACCCGGGATGAAACGGCTCGTACGGCAGACTCGGGAGCTCATTGGACTTTCGCTCGGGGACCGGATCCCGGAACGGGTCTGCCTCATCATCATTCTGCGGAGTGGCCGCCTTGGAGCTGGAACCGCCAGTGCGTGAGCTTTCCCATGCCGATGTGGCCTTGCCCTTTCCATTCCCTACAGCCTTCCGGCTTGGCACAGGGGGTGACGAGGCAGGGTTCATGCTGAGCGGGTTCGCGCCGGAGGATCCCTGCCAGAAGCCGCCACCCGCACCGCTCGCAACGGGCTGTCCAGGCCCTGCGTGTTCCGTGCCGGGCGATGGCTCGCTGATTGGACTTATGGCTGTGGAAGAGTTGATGCCGAGGTGCTTCTTTGCCTGCAGGACAGCACGCTGGTGTTGGTTGAGGGATCGTTGCAGCTGCTCGTTGGTGTCGAGGAGGCTCTCCATTGTGTCGTTATCGGGCGCCGGCTCGCTCGACATGTAACCTTGGATGCTCCGTGAGGCGCTGAGACAACGGTCCGAGAACTCCTTGATGAGGTCGTTGTTGAGAACATCAGCTGGGGGCGTGCATGCGACGACCTGCTCGAGAAGCTTGGCTGACGTCCGGGCTTCCTCCAGGCGGTTCGCCAGCTCAACGGGGTTCGGCATCTTCCGATTGCCATGGGAACGGTTGAAGTACTCCTGTTGGGCCTGTGGGTTGGGCGCTGGTGGGTTGAATCCTCTCTGGGCCGCCTCGGGGATGCCCTGCCAGGATAGTTAGTATCCCTCCTGCAACATGGACGCTTCTGGGCTCACACGTACGCCATATGCCTTGTATGCCTTCTCCTTCTCCTTCTTCCACATCTCGATGATGGTGTGCAGTCCTTCGTCGTGGGCCTTTGTGTTCTCAAATGCGTCGAGCGTCTCCATGAGCAGCTGCCTGACACTCCCATCCCGACCCGAACGCAGCAGCTCCTTGGCGGTGTCGGAGAACTTCTTGTCCAGATTTCGAGTAAACGTCGGGCCTGGGTTGTCGGAAAGGATCCGGATCAACATGATGGCGCTGTACTGGTATGATGGCTTCGTCCAGTAGTCGCGGTACAGAAACTTGCGGATGAGGCGCGCGCATTCGGCCGCGGCAGCCGGGGAAGACTCGGCGGCATCGACGATATATGGGAGAAAGGTGATGTCGTCGCCCTGTAATTATTGTCTCAGTAACCAGCGCGACGGTAATTCCTGTTGGAATGCCCAACTCGTCTGTCCCACTCACCGTTTGGCTGCCTCCCGACTCGCAAAATTGTTTCTGCAAGCGCCCGTCAGCAAAAGGTGGCTATCCCATGTGCACCGCTGGGAATCCATACCACACATCGCGTCGCAATCGCCTCTGGGGTCTCGGTGGTGGGATCGGGGGGCGGCACGTCACCGCTTCCACCTGGGCAGCGGCAGTGGCGTTAGCATCTCAGACTCTGGGACAGGAACATGGGCCGCATGTCTCGGAGGGGGCCGACGCACTAAAGGTGGGCCGCTTCTTGATGGTGCCGAGCACCTTGTTCATACTGAAGCCCTTCATCGTTTGCGACAGTCCCCGGAGATGGGTGATGTCCAGGGCAGGCAAGGGTCTCCTGGGCGGCGCAACGAGCCGAGATGCAGACGAGAGACTCGGGGGTCGACGATGTAGGGGGGTCCACGATTGAGGGGAGGAGGGGGGATGGGTTGCAGTGTGAGTATTCCGAAATTAGAGGGAAAAGGCAAGTTCGCAAGATCTTGTCGCGGAGCAGGCAGTTGGTCGTGTTGCGCCTTCAACTTGGGTGTTGATAAGGAGATGGCCTGAGACGCTTGTCGGGGGGCTCGTGGTTTTGACTGTCGCAAAGCAAACGCGGCGGGACGGTGGACGTCGACCCCTGCTCACACGCTGCCGCCTGCTGCCTTTCGTTTCTTTTTCGTCTTAACGGTGCCGCTGGCTGCCCGCTGCCCGCTGCCCGCTGCCCGTTTGTCGATCCGGGGTAAAACAGTGCCTGGATCTCACATTCGCCCAACTTTGGACCTTTGATTGGGTGACGGGCAGCGTATCAGCGACCTAAAGACTTGGCACCAGTGTCCACGTGAAAGCATCAACTTCCAGCCCGAGTCCAGACAATTGAGAACACCCACCGAGACCAAGTCGCAAAAATAGGGGTCCTGAGTCGATGCTGCATGTCTGGACTCTGCATGCTGTCACCACACTGACATCCTGCTTGTAGGGTGCCTAAAAGACGAGTTCTGTACCCCGTACCGAGTACCTGCCGCATGACGGCAGCGAGGCAGCTGGCAAAACGGAGGGGCGCGGCTTGACGACTTGCAAACGAACCAACGAACCTCAGGTCGCCATTCAACAAACACACTTTCGATGCATGTTGATGTCGAATCATGGCACAGCCCAGGATCTGATGTACCGGGTTTCTCAAGAGTCAAGACACGAACAAACCACCAACCGACATTGGCGAATATAACTGGACCAGTAATTGTCATCTTTAGCCAAGGAAAGACTCCCGTCGCATTCTGCCGGCACAGCCTCCATGTTACGCAAGCTGCCCCCCCTCATGCTGCCATCTTGGTGTTCTGATAGATAGACTTTGGCGTCACTTGCCACCGTTTCGCGGCATTGGCGCCTATCAACCATCCCAAAAACCCTCTTGACCAAGACAAACCCGACCCCTCAGAGTCAACTTGCGTGTCCCCAAAAACCGCGCGGCCTTGGGGGCACCAGGTTGCAAGTGATGGTGCCACCATCGGTACACCCTCTTCGGGGATCCGGGGATAGGCGTTAGTTTCTTGCAAAGCCGTTCTGTGGACAACCAACCGCCCTCAAACGTCAACAGAGCACATGCCGACCGCTGCCGACTGGAAATGGTCAAAACATGGATGATATTTGCCCATGATTACTCCCCTATATCACGGCCGTCCCAGTACACACAGGCCGAGAATCCCTCTTCCCTGTGAAGATATCCATCCGGGAAATGCTCAGACCCAGACCCAACCTCCCATCCATTCCCCCAACGCCAAACCAATCCCATTCTAGACACCCAGGCCAGCAATGCTCTAATACACAGCTGTCCTCTCTTTTCACTCATCATCCTCTGCTTCGTCAATGATATCCTCCACCACCACGCTGCCTCCCCGGCCCATCTTATCGCTGATCTTGATGGACTTGCTCGGCTCCAGCGTCTGTCGGGGCAGCACCGATGCGATCTGGAACGCGTATTTATGCTCGTAATCGTCCGGCTCGGCAACCTTCTCGGTCGACAAGTCTGAGTGCTGAAGGAGGTCGTAGCATTCCACAAAGGCGTAAAGCTCTTCGAGGGTCGTGTCATTTGCAAACTTGCGAATGATACGTTCCCCCCCAGCCGAGACTGGCAGGTTGATGGCCAAACGTACACCAGCCTCGGGCTCGGAAGCAATCGTCGTGGCTCGCCACTGCCGCCATTGCTGGCGCAGCTCCGCTTGCCGTGCCGCTGCCTCTGCTTCCTCCTTGGCCCGCTTCTCGGCGGCGGCAGCAGCCGCCGCAGCCTCCTTCTTTTGGCGAGCCCGCTCCCGGTCAAGGGCAAGAGACCTTTCGTAAGCAGAATCCTGCTCGGTACGAAGGTTCCGGGCGACAGCTTGCGAGGCACGCTCCAAGCGGGTGTTGTCAAGGTCCGGGGCGTATTTGGCAATTGCACTCTCGATCCCGGCGATGTATGCTGCTGGTGTCATGGGCCCGGTGAGACGCTTGACGATACCCATGCGGGTGCTACCCTCTTTCGGTGTGAGGCAGATCAAGCAGGACGAGGGGTACTTGGTGCACATGTATTCCGTGGCGACCTGATAAGCCTCCGAGTCGAGAACGTTCCCACCCCAAACTATGATGTTGTTGGACGGGTTGTTGAGATAGCCGGTCACCTCTGGCGAGAGGAGCGTATCCTTGA